CAAGAGCTGGTGCTGAACACAATGCTGAAAACAGAAACTCTCTAGACTGAATCATTTATAAGTATCTCACGGACAACAAAGAAATCCTTATACTGTATGAATAATTTTTGGAGCCACTGTAGGTTCTGGTAATGCAGTAATTGATTTAATTCGATAAGGTAATGGAGTGATCTTTTTTGATGAAATCACATGACCTAAATAATCAATTTTTCTTTTGCTAACTCACATTTTGCAGGATTTAATGTTAAATTGTGTGTTTTTAAAGCATTTAAAACTTTTTCAATGTGAATTATATGTTCATCATAAGTACGACTAAAGACGATAATATCGTCTAAATATATCAAAGAAAATCCAGTACATGAGGATAAAACATTGCTCATGGTACGTTGAAAAGTTGGTGGTGAATTACGAAGACCTTGAGGTAAAACTAACCATTCGAATAATCCAAACGGTGTAATGAATGCCGTTTTTGCACGATCATCAGGATTAATTGGAAATTGCCAAAAAACCAGATTTTAAATTGAATTTTGAGAAATAAGAATATCCACCACCTAATGACTGTAGAGTAATTTCCATATTTGGTAAAGGATAATTATCTTTAATGGTAATAGAATTTAATTTTTTATAATCAATAACTAATCTCCAACTTTGATCTTTCTTCTTTACCAACAATGCTGGAGCTGCATACGACGATTGTGAAGTACATACGAGTCCTGCATCGAGTAATTTATCTATAATTAATTTTAATTCAGCATTTAATTTTGGATTACCAGGATATGCTTTTTAAACAGGTGGTGTATGAGGAACCGTTTCAGAAAAATGTGAAATCTCTGTTTGTGCAATTTTATAATTACTAGCATCAAATGTAAATTCAAATTTGAATAACAATGATTGAAGTTTTTCATGTTGAACTGGATCAGAAACATGACGAATTAATTGCAAAATAGATTGTTGAGTGATGCTGAAAGGTGACATGGTAAGTGTATTCAACTGATGAACCAATGATGATTGTATAGAATTTAATGATTGTAATGAATGATGGTTTGAAGATGATTCAGGATTCATTGATATCGTAATCTTTCGGTTATCGAAATTAAATGTAATAAACTTTTTCTTCGGATAAATTTCGAATTCATATTTCAATAAATAATCCATACCTAAGATAATATCTGTACATAAATTTGTAGTAATAAATGCTGGAATTGATGTATTAACACCACCTATAGAAAATTCGAATTGTACAACACCGGCTACTTTAATTGAATTAATTCCGTCAGCTATAAAAAAACTGTTGAGGTATGATATGAGAATAATTTGATAGATTAAGACTTTTCAAACAAGCTCGATTAATAAAACAATGTTGTGCACCAGTATCAACTAAAACTTTCATTTGTTTATGATTCACGTGTATGTTGATAAAGATTAAGGAAGTAGATGGCTGTTGAGAAAAATTATTGAAGTCAAGACCATCTATCATTGACTTCGATTCTCGAAATGGTGACAATAACGTGCTATATGAGATGTAGAACCACAGTTGAAACAACCTTGAGACGATTGAGAATTTTGTTGAAAACGGTTATTTCGACGTGTGTTGTTATTATATGATGATGATGGAAATCTTTGTGATGGTTTAACAGCTTGTGCTTGACGAGATGAATTATAAAATGAGGATTGTGAAATTTGATTTAGAAAGCGATGTTGGTTATGATCACGAGAAGAATGATTCGTGTTATCATCATAATAATCACCTTGAACATTTACATTTCGATGATAATCATTGAAATCGTGTTTTGTTGCTAAATCATTTGTATTTGAATATCGAAGAGATTCATCATTATTAATTGAACTTGACGAGAATGTGTTATTCAATGCGGTAAGTTCTTCAGCTCTTTTTGCTTGTACTAAGAATGTTTCTGGAGTCGTAGGATAATTTCGTCGAGTTTCAGTAGATAACGACGGACGAAGACCATTCATAAGATATCGAACTTTTGTTGTGTCATTCATTTGAGGATCAGCTTGTTTCATCAATTTAATCATATCTGTATAATATTGTGTTGTTGATTGATGAACTGTTTGATGATATTGTTTAAGTTTTTCAACTGCTAGATCACGTTGTAAATTCGACATAAATGATTTTTTGATTTCATCAATGAATACCGACCAACAAGTGAATTTGTGTTTGTTTTGCTTGAACCATTGTAATCAGTGGCGTACGCAGAAATTTCGTAAGGGTGGGGCCCATTTCTATAGAAACTGGAACTTATTGAGAGAGAATTTTTATCTCATGTTTGTATTGAAGTTCTTAGCATTCATCTATTAACTCCTATTTATAAAGTTGGCATGACGCATGCTTCGTTTATGCTTATTTTTCATCAATCAATATGTTTCTGTTCATAATCAAATCAAATACAACACA